TGCTGCTGCGGCGGGGTTGCTGCTGCTGCAGTGCTGCTGCTGCTGCGGAGGGCGATGGTGTGCTGCTGCTGCTGATAATAATGATCATGGTAATGATGATGATCATGGCGGTGACAATGATGCTGGTATTGATGGTGTTGATAATGCTTATTCTGCTGCTGCTGCTGCTGCTGATTATAATGCTGCTGCTGCTGCCGATTATGATGCTGCTGCTGCTGATGGCGCTGGTGTTGATGGTGGTGCTGATGGTGCTGCTGCTGCCGCCGCTGATAATGACGATGGCGCTGCCGCTGCTGCTGCCGCTGCTGCTGACGCTGCTGCTGCTGCTGCTGCTGCTGCTGCTGCTGCAGGCTGAACGGGAAGGTGTACACAGTGCAGGACGCGCGTCTGCCGTTTGCTGCAGTGCACGGAGACCCGGACATTTTGCTGCTGGGGAAAACGCGGTTCGGGCCCACGGCGCTGCCGCTGCCGCTGCTGGAAAGAAATAATTTAAAAACATTTTTTGATTTTGCAAAATGCGTGAAGCCCGACTGGCGGCTGGCTCAGGTGTACGTACAGCTCCTCAACACCGCCTACATGCGCGCCTACGTCTTCAAGAACTTCCTCTTCGAAGTGCCCGCCCTCAACCTCCACCTCTTCGCCAAAGTAGCTCTAAACCCTAAACCCTAAACTCTAAACCCTAAGTCCTGGCTCGAGGCCCTCAGTTTGTGCCCCACACGCAGCCTCCGCCTCTTCGCCCACGTAAACCCTAAACCCTAAACCCTAGCTCGAGACCTTCAGTTTCGTGCCCCATACGCAGCCACTGCCTCTTCGCCCACGTGAACCCTAAACCCTAAACCCTAAACCCTAGCTCGAGGCCTTCAGTTTCGTGCCGCGCACGCAGCCTCCGCCTTTGCTAACGTAAACCCTAAACCCTAAACTGTAGTATACTGAACTCTAAACCATAAACTGCTAAACCCAAGAGTTCACAAGCTCAGCAGTCTCTCCCTAATGGCAGTCCTATACCCTAAACCCTAAACCCTAAACCCTAAGGTCGCTGCCAGAGGTCTAGTGCTGCTAGCTGCTGCTGCGGTGTTCTGCTGCTGCTGCATTAGAGCTTTCTGAATTAGAGCAGCAGCAAGCAGAAAAACAAAAGGAAAATGCGCAATAAACAGTAAATGGTGGAGACCGCGGAATCGAGGGTTTAGGGTTTAGGGTTTATGGTTTAGCGAAAAGAGCAAAAAGACTGAAAAAAAGCTAAAAAGAGGCCCTCGCTGCGGAAACAAAGACCAAATGGATTATTTTCTTGGGATTTATTTGAATGAATTAAATCATTCAAATAATTAATTTAAATGAATTAAAAAAGACAATTGGAGAATGGAACTGTTTGTTTGCTTCGAAGGACTTGAGAAAAATAATTCCTTCAATCCAAGTTGAAGACTTAACTTACGCGAAAGGCTTTGGGGGCATTCGCCCGCAGCTGATAAACAAAACCGAGAAGAAGCTGCTGCTGGGCGAAGGCAAGATTGTGACAGGTAATTAAATTAAGATATTAATTAATTAATTAATTAATTAATTAAATTAATTAATTTAAATTTATTAAATTAACTATTCCTAAGTGGTTCATTAATTGCAATTTTTGGTGTTTTTGGTTTTGCAAGAGCTGCTGTTTTAGTGCCAAAATGGCTCGGCAAGTTGGGCTGCTCCTGCTGTAGAGGCCAGAGCAATAAATAAATAAATAAATAAATACAATTAATAAAATAAATAATTAAGATTAATGAAATAAACAAAACAAATAACTACTGAATAAAAAGCGGTGAAATTGTAAAGTAATAAACAAATCATTTGAATTGCGGGCACTGCGCTGAGAGGCCTCTGACTTCTTTTGCTGCTGCTGCTGTTGCTGCTGCTGTTGCTGCTGCTGCTGCTGCTGCGCGAAGGAGAAAACATAATTTTCAACATAACGCCTTCGCCGGGGGGCACCACATGCTTGGGCACTGCAGAGACAGACATGCGGGAAATAGTGAGAGAGCTGCAGGCGAGCATTGACGAGGAGAAGTTCAGAAAAGTTCTTTTGCAAGGAGAGTACCCCGTTGGCAATTAGCGGAAAGTTTGGGGACTTTGGGGGGTTTTAAAAAGAAAAAAAGGAGAAAAAACGAAAAACAACGAAAGAGAACGAAAGAAAACCAAAAAATCCACAAAAGACGAACTTTCCACCAGGTGTACAGACACCCAAACTGCGCGGTGGCAGCTCGCAGGGAAACGCGTGTTCAGGTGTACAGACACCTCAACTGCATGCATGCATGCGTTTACGCGGGGGTGCATGCACTTTCGGTGTACAGACACCCCACCTGCATGCATGCATGCATGCATGCATCCAGTTCCTGTGTACTTACCCCCACGTTTGTTCATGCATGCATGCATTTTGCGGTGTACGGGCACCTCGGTTGCATACATGCTTGCTTGCATGCATGCGTTTCGGTTGTACGGACGCCTCAGATGCATGCACGCTGATACGTGCATGCATGCACTTCCAGGTGTACAGACACCTCAGATGCACGCGCGCATGCATGCAGACATATGTCTTGAGGTGTATGTACACTGCGAATGCGGCTGCGATTTGCGAGGGCCCTTTAGGTGGTGCGTGCAGCGGCGGCGGCCAGAAGAAGAAAGAAACCGATAAAATGCATTTATAGCATTAAACACATTTAATGCACAATATGTTAATTGTTTTTGACATTCGTGTGCACATAAAGCTGGGTTTTGTGCTGCTGCTGCTGCGGTGCCGCTATTTTATGAATTTCAAAGAGCGCCGAAAGGTGCCTGTACACCCCAACGCACCAGGCGTATGTCTGTACACCTGGACTCCTTTGAATGCACTCAACTTCTCCATTTTCCATTTCCTATCAGAAGTGTTTTCTTTAAAAGGCAAGGAGCGCGCGAAGGCGCTGCGCGCAAGTTCAGTTTCAGGTGTACGCAAGTTCAGTTTCAGGTGTATGCTCAGCTTTCCAAAACGAGCATGAGCAGCAGCTCTTGCAAATACATCTTTTGCATTTATTTAGTGGTAGTTGGATTTATTTAGGATATCTGGGCAATTCTCCGTTATTTAATTCAATTAAAATGCCCCGGAAAGGATAAAATGCCAGGAGTTGCCTGAGATGTACAGACAGCTCAGCAACGCCGGAAAGACCGCAGGGCCGCCAGCAGCTGAGGTGTATGTACACCCCAAGTTCACTCCTCTTTTCTTTTTTTTGCACACTTTTTGCCTTTACTTTTTGCCACTTCACTTCTAAATTCATTCTATTCTATAGACGCAGCAGCTAAATAAGAAAGCAGCAGCAGCAACGGGAGAAGCCCCGACAGCAGCAGCAACAGCAGCTGCAATAGCAGCAACCGCCCAAAACCCAAACTGTCGACTTAGTTTCTTCTTGCGGTTTTGCAAAATAATAAAAATGGTTCTTAAATTCACCTGAGCCTCTGCCGGACTATAGGCGCGTAGCATGCAACAGCAGCAGCAGCTGCTGCTGCTGCAGCAGCAGCAGCAGCAGCCGCACGTTAGAATTCTGTCGCCGTCAATTTACAAGTTGTTAAACTTCAATTGAATTTCATTTAAATGAAATTATTTTTTTGTTCCTTCATTCATTGTTTGTTCGCACTTTCATTTTTCTTTTCTTTCTGGCGCCCCGAATCAATTGTCTAACTTTTGAAGTAATAATTGATCTCTTCTCCAATTGTTTAATTGCGTTTGTTTTATTATTTATTATTTATTATTTATTAATTTATTTATCTATTTATTTTTTAAATTTATTTTCATTATATAAAAACTTGAAAGGCATTTTAGGCAGATAAATACTTCTGCAGCAGCCGCTGAGTTGGAGAGCACAAGTGGCTCGTGTCGGGCCTGAACGCACAAACCCTAAACCCTAAACCCTAAACCCTAAACCCTAAACCCTAAACCCTAAACCCTGGATCCCTAAGTCTACGCCGCAGAGGCTTGCCGAAGTACTTCAACTCCCGCCTAAACCCTCCTAAACCCTAAACCCTAAACCCTCTTTTCACTTCTTGGGGTGCCAGGAAAAACGTCTGAAGAGGCGATACAAAAGACCCCTAAAAACAAAACGACCGATACTGTGCAGCTGCCTAGACACTTCAAAACCCTAAACCCTAAACCCTAAACCCTAAACCCTAAACCTAAACCCTAGCTGCACTAGTTTGTGCCTCTTTTAGAATTCTGCAAACTCCAACTACGCGCACTCTTATACCTAGAGCAGCAGCAACAGCTGCAAATGTAGCATCAGCAGCAGCAGCTGCAGCAACAGCAGCAGCAAGTTTCACGGCTCTAATAAATGTGCACGAGGAAGCGGAGACCCACAGAAAGAAGACATAAAAACAAAAAAACAAAAGCAAATTAAATTACATAATCAAATCAAAAAACAAAAGACAAAAAAATAAAGAACAAGAAAATGAAGAAGAAATAGACAAAATAAACAAGAAGACAAAGAGAAACAAAAAATAAGAAAGAAAAAAAGAAATGATAAAAAATAAAAAATAGAAAAAGCAGAAAAAAAAGAGAAGAAAAAAAGAATAAGAGAAAAAAATAGGTAAGGGAAAGAAATCAATGAAGTGGAAGTAGACAAAAAGAAAAAAATCGAAGAAAGAAGAATATAGTCACATGAATAAGGACAAAGAAAAGACAAAGTGAAAACTAGAAAGAAATAAAACAAAAATTTTAAAGAGATAAAAATGAGACAAAATAAGATCGAAAAAAGCCAAAAGGATGATTTAAAGAGAAAAGAAAAAAGAGAATCAAAAAAGAGACAAGGAAGACATTTAATATTAAAAAGAGACAAAAGCGAAACTAAAAGAGACAAAAAGAAATAAAAAGAAATAAAAGAAGTAAAAATCAGCAAAAGACAAACGAAATAAAAGAAATAATAAAGAAATGAAAGAAGCAAACAGAAATAAAAGAAGTAAAGGAAACTGAAAGAAATAAAATAACAAATAAAAGAAAGAAGAGAATAAAAGGAAGAACAGAATAAAAGGAATAAAAGAATAAAAGAAATAAAAGCACAAAAGAAATAAAACAATAAAAGGAACAAAAGAATAAAAGAACAAAAGAAATAAAAGAATAAAAGAAATAAAAGAATAAAAGAAACAAAGGAATAAAAGAAACAAAAGAATAAAAGAAATAAAGATAGATAAAAAGAAATAAAAAGAAATAAAAAGAAACAAAAAGAAATAAAAAGAAATAATAAAATTAAAGTTTGCATTCTGACTTTTTGCCTTGACGAGATAAACTCAAAACGCGGCGGATGTCCTTCGCCAGCACCTTCCCCAGTTCGACTCTAAAAAAGAAAACAAAAAGAAAACAAACAAATAAATAAATAAATAAATAAATAAATATACTTAATTAATTCATTGAATTAAATAAATAATTAATTGGTGATTAAAAAGAAATAATTAAATAAAGCAAGGCTGAAAAAAAGCTTCAAAACCACCAAATCTTGAGCTCTGGGCGCAAAGAACAGCCACTGCTTCAAACCCTAAACCCTAAACCCTAAACCCTAAACCCTATAACCTTACCCCCACTGGTCAAATGAGTTAATGCCCCAAATGAAACCCTCAGTGGCGACTCGGTTTTCATAAAGAGACAAAAGCATTCCCAGATAATACGGGTTGCACTCCGGCAGCAGCAGCCTGTAGAGGCAGCAAACCCTAAACCCTAAACCCTAAACCCTAAACCCTAAACCCTTGGCGCCTCAGAAGACGCTCAGCTCGCAAAGCTAGCCCGAAACCCTAGGCCCCTTGCAGTAGACAACTCCGCAACTAAGCAGTTCTTTTCTGGAGGTCTTGAAGGAAACAAAGAGCCCAAACCCTAAACCCTAAACCCCAAACCCTAAACCCCAAACCCTAGGCTCTCGCTCCGAAGCCGAGCCCCGTCCACCCTGCAGCGGCCAGTCCCAACCGCAAAACCCCAAACCCTAAACCCTAGCCTCAAGCCGCACACCCGTTGCCCTGAACCTTCAGCCATAAACCCTAAACCCTAAACCCTAAACCCTCACATGGTGGAGGGCCTGTTCCCCTGGAAGGTCTTGTGCGGAATTAGGGTTTCAGAAACCCCTTCTTTTTTTAATTCTTCTTTTGTCTTTCCAAAAGCCAAAGCATCTGGCTGGGCAAAGAAGTTCGACATCAGCTCGTCTTGGTTCGAGACCTCCTCGCCCTAATCGCAAACCCTAAACCCTAAACCCTAAACCCTAAACACGACAGCGGGCCCTCCTGTGCACGCAAAGCGAGTTTATACCTATTCTTTGGGGTCGGTCTTTACTCACGGCGCTGAAGGCGGCAAGGGTTAGGGTTTAGGGTTTAGGGTTTAGGGTTTAGCAGGTACCTCCAACGTGATAGGGTTTTGGTTCTTCTGGAAGCCGATGAACTCCGCAGGCACCACGCGGCCCTGGTGCAGCAACTGGTAAAAGCTATGCACACATCCCAAACCCTAAACTCTAAACCCTAAACCCTAAATCCTAGGGGCAAGCTCTCCCTTCACTCTCTGCCCGGTCGACACAACAGTCAGCAGCAGCAGCAACATGAGCAGCAGCAGCAAGATAAGAAGCAGCAGCAGCCTCTGCAAGAGTAGCAACACCAGCCAGAGCAGCAGCAGCAGCACGGGCTTTAGCAGCAGCAGCATCGGCCCCAGCAGCAGCAGCCTAAGCAGCAGCAGCAGCCGGAAGAGCAGCACCCGCAGCCTGAGCAGCAGATGCAGCAGCAACCTGAGCAAGAGCAACCTTAGCAGCAGCAGCAGCGGCCCGACCAGCAGCAGCAGCAGCAGCGGACTCAACAGCAGCAGCAACAGCAGCAGCAGACTGAACAGCAACAGAAGCAGCAGTGGACTGAACAGCAGCAGAAGCAGCAGCAGCAGCAGCAGCAACAGCAGCAGCAGACCTGTGTTGACCATTGGTCCCTGGTTCTCCGAAGTAAATCTCTCCCGCCTCATATTCCAATTTGTTGCCCTCAAGGTCCACGCCTTTGCCTGGGGCCCCAAAACAAGAAAAGCATTTGCTGTAAACCCTAAACCCTAAACCCTAAACCCTGAGACTT